ACACAGTCACCATGCTCTTCCCCTGCCCGTGAGACCATCACTCTGTACCTGTGGAGGCAGATGTACAAGGTGGAACACCCACTGTCTGACTCACAGAAGACAGAGGTTTAAAGAAATACAGGTGGCCAGAACAGAGCCCTCTGCGTTCCTGGGCTCTCCCTCCATCCCCTTCTCCATTCTGATCAGAACATCACCAGCTTTAAGTAATCTGCTGTACCAGCGAACGTCCAGGGTCACCAAGTAGCGCAAAACACCCCTCCATTTAAAGGGAAACACCTAAAACTCTCCTTGTCTTTCCATCGATTTGCCCAGGACTCACTACAGATATGAAGCAGGGCTTCCAAGGAGATGTGAGATTCCACCACCTACAGCCAGTTTACTCCTCAGGGAAGCAAGAGGTGGGGAGAGCCTGACATCCCAGCACTCCAGGACAGAGACCCCCACAAGAGCGTGACACCACTCATTCGGGCCAAACACGAGAGACACATCTTCAGGTTGCAACACGCACCGCGCACCACGCAGGGTGGGAGAGGTGATCAGAACGCTAGAGGTGATAAGAAAGAACACAGTGTCTAGTCCTTTACAAAAAGACACAAACGAAGACTTTCAGGAAACAGCTGCAGAAACAAGTCTGCTATGTAACTTGAGTAGTACATGATATACTGTAGAAGTCTTACCTATTACAGGCTAAATTATAACCTGAAAGTACTAGCTTTCACAGCCAATTAGAATATAAAACAAAATTCCCCTTAATTGCAAACAAAACCAAAAGACTCTCATTTCAAATTAATAAGTACAAGAATTCAGCTCTGGGATACAATTTTCTTAGAGCCCCAAAATTAAACAAGCAAACCGACGCAGGAGGGACAGAGTTAAGACCAAAGTAGAGACAGGAAAACACGGAGATCAGTGGTACAGTGGAAACGATCATCGGCCAGAAGTCCAGATTTTGGATCTGCCCAGATCTGCCAACACGTGATTCCAACAAGGCTCTTAACCAGCCGGGTGTCAGTTTACCCTTTAGCAAAGGGGAGGGGTGGACAGAAAGCCCCTCAGGGTCCTGAGTGGAACCTTACTGTGTGCAGCTGCCTCAGCTCACCGCCTGCTTCAGTTCAGCAAGCCCCCACCCTGCAGCATCTGCAGATCCATCAAGCCCTCGCTCGCAGGGGAGAAATGCCCCCCCACGGCCAGGGCTTCTGCCTCGGGAGGCCGCCCCAACCAGGTCAACCCCCCACCCCTGAGACGTGCTCCCTGGGCGCCCTTCTCCCCTTTATGTATCGCTACTGCGGTTAATCCTACACTGATTTAAGGGTTCTTCAATAAACATCTGCTCTGTTCGTTTCTAGGATCCAAAATGCAAGGGGACCGTAGTTGCCTTGCCCAACATGACACACCCAGATTTAGTATACTTCTTACCATACAGTATGCACCACAATCTTTTAGTGAATAGAAGAATTACTGGCTAAGAAAGCATTTCAATTAAGCACGAAAAAAAGTCTAGCTGGGGGTACAAACATATCTAAAGATTAAATTTTTTTTCTCAAAAAATGATATACAGAGTGGGAAAATAAAGAGGGCTAAGAAAGTAATGAAATCTCTACAAGGTAAGGAAAACAGGTATGGCATCCTCAACTGTTAATGTTTACTTATGAAGCTGTGACCTGTTTTACTGGAGCTCTTTTATTTTTTATTAAAGCCTATACTTCAAAACCTTAGTAAGATGTCTTCTTTTAATTCTGCCATCCTACATTCAGCTGGTGTCCAAACATTCCCACCGCAGGGCACAAAGTAATGAGCCAGAGGCACTTTCAGCCTGGGTGACACGGGGACAGCTCTGTGACTTGCAGACATACACAATGCCTCGCATATTTGAATAAGATTATTTACCTTTGTTCTTTAGAAGGTGGAAACGACCTTAAAAGGTTAATAACACTCGAGACAGTTCTGTGCCCTAGAATTATACATAAGCCACTAATCATCACAGAATCACATCAAACGTATTAGAACATGCAGTTGACACACTCGTCACGCAAGAAGACAGGTGACTTCTCTCCGCTGACCAGGTGCAGAGCCCTATAACTATGAAACGTTATGAAGCCTCTTGTGGTTGGATCATTAGCTGCATACCTGAAGCGTTTAACGTTGCACTCTGTGAGAGAAGTTGATCATTGCTTATGGTCAAGGTGGCACCCGCAGACTGATTATTGATTGCAGGTGCTGACAATCTTATGCTTCCGTTCAGTTCACTACTTCCATTAGAACTGTGCTGAATAAGATCTTGACCTAAACGGAAATTAATACTGTGATATCTGAGAGTAACACATTAATTCACATACTGGCAAGTACGTTAAACATATCATCACATCCTTTTAAAAGTGAAAGCTATTTCATTTTTAACACTATATAAAGAGAAAAAAAAAATGAAAATAAGACCATGAAATACATTTCCCGAAATGAAACTACCTGTTCACACTCTTTAAGCTATAACGTTTTTAAGTGCTTCTTAAGAGTTCTACTTTAATCCAGCATTTAGGCACTTAGAGCTACACACTTTGTTGAATAAAACTTAAACCGAATTGGAAATACTTCCAAACACGGTGGACTCCCAGCTGCAGCATCGAGGGGCACGAGGGAGGGTACCAAGGCCTCCCTTGCAGCAGCAGTGGCCGCTACAGGTCTCCTGTGGGAGGGTCACTGCCCCACGGCGCTCTGGACGCGCACAGCAGGCTCAAGCCCGCCGTGATGTACTCCCACCGAGAGACGTGGGCTTCTGTCAGCTTCATTAGCTTGTAACCTTTACATTACAGCATAATTGTATAATGTAATGGATAGTATGGAAACAGAGGAACATGAAAATTAAAAACCCGAGCTGTTTCCATGAAAACCAAAAGACAAAAGGATGCTGCACTCAGCTTCCTGATCACCGACACCCTCATGCCACACTAGAGAAACGGACCTGGGGAATGAGTCTGTGCAACGGGGGCGGAAGTGTGGGCAAAACAAGACGTGCAGAACTCCTACCAGCAGAGCAGACCCGTTTTCAAAGACCCGCGGATAAATGCTCAAAATCGTGTAGGCATCGCTTTTCTGACTCTCTGCTTTGATGTGGCTTTTTGTTAATAACTGAAGACATCAGGTAAGAGCACTTTTACTGTACAAGACAACTGGGGGAGACTGAGGACCCTTCTCGCCGTCTACCCAATGGTTAACTTCTCTCCTAGCTGCTGAAGGTCTGCGCACCTCACCGGAAGTAGTGTTTGCACCCTAGCGTCACATATCCATAAGCACTTGTCATTCCGTGCATTCACGGGAAAAGAACATCCGACAAAATAACCAAAAATTCCTACAGCACAGCTAGATGCTTTCCACAGGTGACCACCAAGTAACAGTTTTTCTAGACTCCTCCGAATGGGATAAGAAAATGTTGAGTTCGTAGTCCCCACAGCCAATTCTCATTGCACACAATAATGAGAAGTAAAGGAATAAGAAATCTTAAGCCCAGAGTTTGGGCAACCCTTATTTCATCAACTGACAAAGAATTCTCCTAGGATAACCCTTTTAAGCTTTTTTTTTAAAAATTGCAGTTATATTCACCTAATACACTAAAAATTAACAATAAAATAACTAAGTGATCGATAATAGGAAAACATAGGAGAAACGGAAGTACAAGCCACAAACACAAAAACACATTTGCCGAACTATATGTCACGTGTGTTTTGTATAGGACTAGCACAACCCCTCAAATATTGAGATTACGCAAAAAAAGTTAATTCGATCAACAAGACAGCTTTCTGAAAATAACTCTTCCATGTTTCCAACATTAAAATTCAAATATATATATATATATATAAATACACATATATTAAATAAAAAAGAAGAAAGTTAGTGAATTAGATAAAATTCAAAGTTAATTTCTGCTGTCTGTTAGCATCTAAAAACCACTGCATGTCACTGAGAAGTGAAGCTCCATCCAGGAATAGTTCCTCAAACTTCTCACATAAATTGAAAGGAATAAAGACACCCCTTAAGAAAGCAAGCTTTTGGTTTTCTCCTCAATAACTACTCTTTCTTTTCCAATAATGATTTTTGCAGAAATCTCAGGCAACAGAGGTAATAACTACACTGACCGCTCACACGGCTATCGGCCCAGTATTCCAGCCACTGCCATACCGTGTCTCCAGGGAGGTTATTTTGACCCCAGCAAAATGTTTTTCTTTTCTTTTTTCTTTAAAAAACAACAATCTCATAAGGTTGTTATGACACTTAAATGAGTTAATACTTGTCAAAGTTACTAGAATAGGACCTGGTGCACTGTAAGGGTCAAACAATTGTTGCTAAATTTAAGAACCACTCAGTTAACATGAAGCGCTCATAGCTAAGAGGCGTGTGGGCAAAGCGCACCTGTAAAATATGCTCCAAGCTAACGTAGGTGAGAACATATTGTGAGAATTAGTGCTCTAAAAGGGGAAGAACTGACCGTGAACATCACAGGCATGGAAGGGGGAACACATTAGCTGGTGACTCACGTGGAGGATGAGCTTGCCAACCTCGGCGGCCTGGGCTGCCAAACGGTGCCTTCCACCCACTTATCTAGCTCTACCATAATTTTCGACATAATCTGAGAAGAATTCTGAAAAGGTCAGGGGCGTAGGTATCTGTAATCTCCCAGTGCAACCACTTATACCGATTCAACCCCTTTAGCTCAAAGGAGCATGGTAAGAATTATGAAGCCATGGTTTTCTGCCCTTGGTTAAACAAAATATATTTGACAAAGCTAACTGGCTCAAACTGGACGTGCCATGAGGAACCACCACGTTTAACCCCTGGTATGAGATGGGAACTGCAGGATGATCATTCTCACTAAACTGGAGTTTCTCACATAAATTACAAACACTTCCTGAGGCACTGGATTTAGGCAAAGCTCAGTCTTGCAGGAAAAAGGTACAAAAAAGAGTTACCTAAACTGCAGGTGGAAGGATTTAAAAAATTTTAAGACTAACCGGAGATGGTCAGGGTAATTTCCTGCGGCGACCCCGAGGACGACGCAGCGGTGGGCCCTGCAGCCTGCGCCAGCACCTGGCTCAGGCTCGAGTTGTTAATGGTCAGGGTGATCTCGTGGGGGCCACTGGAGGTGGACACCAGGCCTTGTGATGTCATCACCTGAGAGAGGTCTTGCGTCCCTGGTCATCGTTATAAAACAGAACAAAGCTGGGCTTAAAAAAATAATCATTTCCTCCTTTTTCATATTAAAATATTTTAGTGCAACTGTTACTTTAAAAAGAGAAGGATTCAAAATACAGTATCAGTCATCTCTAATTCCTTCATCTGAAATTATTTAAAAACAAACAAACAAAAAGCCTTATGAGGAAACAGGAAGCCGGTTCCATGAATGCAATCTCTGTGCATATACTGACTAAACATCATTTATCATCAGAAAAGCTTACTTTATTCTTAGGACATTTATTCGTTAAGCTTTATAAAGAGAAGAAAACAGCATCCCAGTGTCCCCAAGCCAAATCTGTGACTGTCAGCAGCGAGCCGAAACTCCAGCTGTCACAATCGACCAAAGCGGCAGCTCTCACCACTGCTGTTGGTGGTCAGCACGGAATCCTGCTCCGAGAGCGGGCCTATGGTCAGGTTGGCAGACGTCACCGTGGGCTGCAAGGACAGGCCTGAGATGGGCTGGAGGACCACGCTGGCCGGGACTGTACTGTCTGGTGTCTGAAGGGAGCTGTGCTGCGGGGCCAGGCCGGGCTCCACGGTCGGCTGTGGAGCAAGCAGGTTACCCTGCTGTAGCGTCTGCTGCAGGACGCTTGGGTCAATCTGAAAGCACAGAGGTTGTTGTGATGGAAATTTCACGCTGAGTGTGACTCAGACCATCTGAAAGCACAGAAAAGCCTGGTGGGCGTCGCACCTGTAGCGTGATATTATTAATGCTGGAAGCGTCGATCCCAGAGATTTGAACACTGGGTGCAACCAAGTTAGCAGCCAACTGTAACTGTATGCCCTCAAGGGTGGCCAGGCTTCCATCTGTCAAAGACACTGTCCAGTCGCCACCAGCTGCAGAGGAAGAACAGGAATGACTGCGTACCAGACACTTTCTCAAACAGGAAAAACGCACTGGGTTTCTAAATACAGAAGTCCTAAACACATACCGACATGACCTAGTTAACAAATACTAATATTTACTTTACACAGGCACATACATATCTAATTTAATCATCACAAAATAAACCTTGTGAAATAGAAAATAATATTATCCATTTTAAACACATCGGGAAACTAGGCTCAAAGAGATCACACTGATTTGCCCAAGATTTAAAACAACGCTATTATTTTGTCTTATTATGCTTTAATTGCACCATGGGTCATGAAACTGAAAGAAAGCCACTTAAGATGTCCAGTAGCTACTAACAGTTGCTACGTTATTTGTGAGTGCACAAAAAACCCAACTGACTAAAATTTAATGCTTTTCAAATACTGTGTGACCCAAGAGCAATTGGATAACTCCCGTATATGAGAAGCAAGGTTCACGGGTAGCTATAAATTACGTCTCGCTATTAAGTTTGTGAGAATACTAAAAAAGAAACAGGTTTAAGCCCATCAAACTAAACAAAGAGCTGACGCGTGAAATGCAGAAGTGACGTTAGAAAGAACGGGAAGCGGAAAGGCAGCTGCATCTGGAAGTCAGGACTTCAACCTCCCGCGGCCTCGCGGGAAACCCTCAGGAAGGGCAGTGTCCTGAGGCTGAAGGTCGCGCCCCCCCCCCCCCCCCGTCCCGGCGTCCACAGCCCTGGTGCCTGTCAGCCCTACTCACCGGACACGGAGGCGGGAAGGACGGCCTGGCCCAGCAGGCCCTGCTGCAGCAGACTCTGGTCCAGCTGCCCCGCCAGCACGGGGCTGTTCATGATGAACACGCTGGGGTCGGAGGAGGGCGGAGGGGGCGCGCTCACGGGCTGCGGCCCTTCCGGCGGCCCCCGGGGCCCGGGCTTCCGGGCTTTCTTAGGGTCCGGTTTGTAGTGAAACTGCATGTGAGTCTTCCTCCGCCCGGACGTGCGGAAACGCAGCTCACAGTGGGGACACTTGAACGGCTTTGCTCCTGTGTGCAAACGCATGTGGACCTTCAGGCTCCCCTTGGTGGAGAAGGCGTTGCTGCAGACGTGGCAGCTGAAGAGCTTCTGACCTGGGGGAAGACGCCGTGCGTCAGCGGGCCGGCCGGGTCGCCCCCGTCGGCCTGCGGCCTGGCTGCCACTGCGCTGCGTCCACCATCCCCCGCGCTCCCCGGGGCCCCTCGCTCCGGAGGGCTGGTGGCTGGAAAACTTAAAAGTAAGCGAAGTTCACTGTCGAGGATCCGTATTCAGTCTTTCCACGACACGGAGGCACACAAGCCCTGCCGGAAGCGGGGACCCGCCCTGCATCTCGGGCTCCGCTCCCTGATTTTATGAAGCGTGAGCTCACGCCTCACCGGTCTTCTCTGCTGACAAAGGGGCGCCCGAGCCGCCGGCACGGGTGGAAGCCGCCCGGCAGACTGCGCTCCGGGCGCACGTGCCCAGCTCCTGGGGCGCCAAGTCCTCTAACACGCGCGCGCTGCTCGGGCCGCAGAAGGCAGCTGAGGGGGGCCCTGGAAGGTGTCCTCCCAGAGACTCTCTTCCCAGTCCTGACGCCCGGGAGCCCACACGGAGGCTTGGCGCGCAGGCGTCCTGAGGGTGGCCGGCACCTGCCGCGTGAGCTACCACGTGAGACCCGGGACGCAAAGGCGCTAAGCGGGTCCCTCCTGACCCTCGGCAGCGCCCAGGGCTGCAGGGGAGGGTCAAGCACAGATCCTAAGGAAACAACAGAACTGTCCGTAGAATAGAGGCAGTTGAAGGACTTAGTGTATCTGTTTACCTAATTCCACACACAAACCCATCAGAAAAGAATCACAGGACTTTACGCCTATGTGTGAAATTCCACTTGTACTCCCTTGGTCAATTCTGCTTAGGGCTAAAACTTCAGAGTGTACACTGGTTTGATAATCATAATCCTACGAGTCCTCGAATCCTCACGACGCCAACATTTACTCCGTGTTTACCAGGTGCTACTTTTACTTTTCTAGGCAATTTAAACCGGGGGGTGGGGGGAGGGTACTCATCTTTGCCCCATTTTCTACATGAGGGGTGGGCGGGTCAGAGAAGTGGCTCACAGGTGAGGGCAGACTCCAACCGGGCAGAGGCCCAGGGCCCGCCTTCTCACCCACGAGGGCGCACCGTGCACAATCAAGAAGCAAAGGTTGAGTACGTTTTACTTAGGATGATTAACCTTCAGTTCCTCACATTAGATGAAGAAAATGGCCATGAAATTTGGACGTTAATTGTTTTCCTTTATCAGATTTTCCCCCCACAGAAACAGAATTGCTACCTGGTAAGTGTAATCAGATTTGTGAAATCCCCAGTTTTCACAAAATTTCAACAAACTGAAACTCTGGCCTGAATGAGACTAAGAAGTAATCTTTCTAACACGTGTATTTAATGCTGAGTAAGACAACTTACAACGCCACACCTGAGACCTAGATCCTTTCCTTTGGTGTCAGATCATTTTCTCCATGTTGGGAATCACAAATCTTCTATATTCATTCCTTCATGGTTCCTGATTTTGAAGCTTTGTTTCATCTTGAAAGTATGTGTGCAAAATACATAGGAACAAGTATAAAATGCTGTCGGAAGTCACCTACCAACAGTGCGGGTGTTTGTTCTTACCTGTGTGAGTCTTCACATGGCAGTCCAGGGTAGATTTAACAGTGAAACTCTTCCCACATTCATCGCATTTATATGGCTTTTCTCCAGTGTGGATTCGAACATGCCTAGCCAGAAAGCATTTGCAATTAAGTGTCTTTCTTTTTAACTTTATACGCATTTACAAACAACTTCATGATTTAAAATTTATAGCTATCCATATAAATAAAAATTTTGCGTGACTATGTACTGAATAAATTTAGCAAAACAAAACTTTTAAGCTTTACTCTCTATAAATAATACCATAAACAAATCCACAAGACAACAAAGTAATCTGCAAGACCAATGAAAACAAGGCTAACTTTCCTGAAAACCAAAGAGAATCTTACAAATCAGCAGTAAGACAAGAAATATCACAGCAGAAAAACAGGCAACACACAGGCAGCGTAGAGAAGAAACACACGCACCCAAATGCCACATGAAAAGGTATTCCCCAGCCTCAGAATTTAAAAGGAGCAAGTTAAGATGACAAGCCATCCCTTTCCCATCCGTCTGATGATGACCCACCGTTGGCTGGGTGGCCTAGGAGCAGGTGTTCGGAGGTTGGGGGATGTAAACGGCACAGCCCTCGGAGGCCAGTGGGTGTGTCCATCAGCACTGACCCCGGGCACCCACACAGGTGCACACAGAGCACAGGACAGTGGGGCTGGCCTAGGGATTCCACACTGAGAACTAGGCAGTCATCAACAGGGGTCTGGGATGCCCACACGACAGAACAAGACGTCGCCGTGAAGGATGAAAGAGGTGGGCGGGTACTGACAAAGCTGTCTGAGACCCTACGATATGTAACAATTAAACCGAGACCAGAATTGCAGAAGTTAATGCTGACGTATGCGTAGACATTTCTGAAAAAACGCACAGAAGAAACTGCTGATAGCGCTTGTCTCTGGGGAGGGGAAGGCTCTCCCTTTACAGCCTCCTCCGCTGTTTTCGGTCCTGGCTCGCTTCACCAGGACGCCTGTCCAGTACGCAGTGGGGGCAGCTGAGCCTCGCACGACTGTTAAATGAAGGACGGAGGAGAAGGCCGGCCGGCTGCCAGGCCACAGCAGGCTTCTCGTTTCCAGGGGCACCTGCCGCCTCGCCCCCTCACGGGGGTGCAGGGTCGGCAGTCCTGCCTCCGGGGCGCACCTCCGGGCCGGCTGGCTGCTCGTCAGCACCACCCGCCGGCCACGTGCTGCAGGCCTTCTCAGCGGTGCGACGATGCCCACGGGGCTGCCCAGCACAACGCCCTCGTCCGCGATTCGCACCCCTGCCTCCCGCTGGGGCCCTGCCCCGCCCCGCAGCCAGCGTGTTGCTCCCTTGTGGCCACCGCCCGGTCCTCTCCGTAGCTGAGGGTTCCAGCGTCTCACTCCCGGCCTCAGAGTCACGCAGTCACCTTCTTAGCTCGTTCCTCCTCCCCACCCGCCGGGACACGACGCCATCTCGGCCCCGCGCCCAAGCTCGGCCCGGCCTTGCCCACTGCCCCTTGCCCGTCTACCCGTCCCTCTCTCACTGGCACACACCCCTTCCCGCCCGGCAGGAATACAAGGGCAGGGGTTACTGGCTGCGCTCATGCGATGAGCACTTCCAGCCTAGCAGCTTCTCGGCAGCCTGTCTGCCCTCCTGTCACGTGCAGGGCTCTGTGCGACAGACAGGGACAGGAAGACGCCTCTTTGGTTTTCTGAAGCAGCCGGCTCTCTTATTACCCGTCTTGAAATCCCGACAGCTCCTCCCTTCAATCACCCTCTACCTTTTACCCAGCAGTTCCACCTCCTGAAGCAAAAGACGAGCGCCCCCCCGGCGCCCCCTCCCTC